GGGGAGACTGGGAAAGTGAATATCTGAAGCAAGAAGTCGGGTTTAATTTTTTTAAATGTTTCCATATTTAAAAAAAATAAAAACATGAAGTGCTGGTGATGTTTATGCTCATAGTTACCACACCTGTCTCCTCTGCCTCTCTTCTTTGTGGGTTTCTCCTGACTGTCAATTATTTATGTAATTTCTAACCTATGAATATTACATAGAATAAAAAGTTTGGGGAAAGAGAGAGAGAAGGGGAGGGGAGAGGAAAGGAGAGAAGAAAAGAAAAGGAGAGAGAGAGAGAGATTGATTTATTAGCTTGGGAGCAAAATAACTTTATATTTTTTGGTGGAGAACTCAGGAAAGCCAAATTATGCATTGCCATATGAGACAATCAAAATCAGAACAACATTGTTTAAAGTTAATGTGTGCCAAACCATGTTGTGATATCTGTCTTATGTGTGTATTTATATCTCTGTCCCTGTGATATATCATCATGGATGCACTCTCTGCCTCTCTCTGCCTCCCACCTCTCTGCTCTGTCTCTCTCTCACGAACATGCGCAGCCATTCACACCATGGCATTGAAAAGAGCCAGGGGGTTCAGATGCGCCCAGTGACTTAAAGGAGGACTATCTGGGTGGGATGCTCAGTAGGCAGGGCCAATTGTGGGTCCTTCTTTTTTTAAAAAAATAAATATTTTTATTGGTTTCAGAGAAGAAGGGAGAGGGAGAGAGAGACAGGAACATCAATGATGACAGAGGATCATCGATCGGCTGCCTCCTGCATGCCCCACACTGGGGATCGAGCCCACAACCTGGGCATGTGCCCTGACCGGGAATCAAACTGGCAACCTCCTGGTTCATGCGTCTATGCTCAACCACTGAGCCACACCGGCCAGGCTGCGGGTCCTTCTTGAGGAAACCGTTAACTTAGCCTTTTCGAGAAGAACCACCTCTTTTGGGGTTTCCCTAAAGCTTGAGCTCTTACCTGGTACTTCTCAGGCGTGAAGTCACATGGAGGCATTCTGGGTTTCGTATGAAGACCGAGCTTGGTTACAGATCTCCAGAAAGCACCTACTAAAGTGAAGTGAATTAGGATCCTCAACTAACCATCACACAGGCCCATTTGTAGAAATCACCTATAGTTTTTACCTGAACCAAGGTCCTTAGGTATTTTATTTCTTAGTTAAAAAATCACTTAAATCAATCTTAAGGTGGATTTAAAGTCTGAGGTATCTCAAGCATGAATTTTCTGGAGAAAAAAAGATAGTTTCTCTCAAATGTAGTCAGGAAAGGTGTGGGAGATATTGGGGGAAGTCATGGTTTCTCCCATCAGGTCGTCACAAGCTTGGAAAACTCCTCGCCTACCCCCATGTCAACTACATTTCTCTTTCCAGTTGACCAAACTTCCTGCAGTGCTGGGTGCTGCTGGAATATGTCCCCTCTGTTAATAGAGGTACTTTCTAAGTGGTGGGTTGCCCAGTGCCTGAATCCCAGGACCCACCCCAGTGTCAATAATCAAGGAATGCATGGTTATTGACTTTTCTTATAGGGGATAAAGACAGAGATGCTGGGCAATGTACTATATTAATAAATACTATGTGCAAATAGATCAGAAAGATGAAACCTTTCTCCAAAATACAACACAAAGACCATGGCTACACAAGACCATGAAAAAAAGCAAAGATAAGCTGAGCCAGAGGAATCGTGAAATATTTGGAGCTAAAAGGGACCTTCAATTTTATTTTTTGGTTAAAATGCTCTTTTCATACATGATTAAATCAGCCTAAAACAGTGAATTAATTTGTTGAAGGTCACCAAGCTAGATAGCTGCAGCACAAGAATGAAACTCCACGTCGCTGACCCCCAGCCCTGTACATTTCCCCTCACTCATTGGCCCCCTTAACCCTCCCCTCCAGCACAGATTTTGATGGAATAAAGGACCAGAGAAGACCAGAGCTGGAAGAGACATCTAGAGACTTTATAAATACTCCTGGAAAAGAATGCTGCTAATTTTGAAGATTCAAGGTCAGTATTAAGATAATTGGGGAATGCTGAGGCAATGAGGTCTCTTGTTCAGCCTGAAGGTTTGAATCCACAGATGAAGTGTTGGTATTTTGTGTGGCTATGAAGTCACAGTCCTGAGAAACACCATGAACAACTGTGTTTTTAAAGGAAGAGGAAGTGTAACAGCATTGAATGTGTTTTCCTTCAAAGAGCTCTCATTCACTTTTCTGCTCTAAAGAATCACACATGTCATTAATTTGCTCTTACTTTAAAAGCAAGTGGCTTTTGGCTATTCATACAAAAAATAGCCCCTCAAAATCAACTCTAAGTTTTCTGAGAATTTCACCTTTCAAAAAGTTTTCCATTGTGTCTCTCTCTACATTAGTTACTTTTCTGAGATGAAAGAAAAATTCTGAGTGTTTCTAAGAATTCAAATTTCCTTCACTCCTTCAGTCTCATTTTCCTACCTGCAAAGTTGGAGTTGCCCATTGAGAAGGATCTAAGCATTCTTGACTTCATGGTTAC